ATGAAACAATTTAAATGGATACTGTAATTACTTTTTAAAACTAGAGGTAAAATTTGTTGGAATATCTTTGAATATTTGGGAAGTTCAGGTTTTTTTTAAATGAGTTTGAATCCCGTGCTATGGTCTTATAACCAGTCTGCAAATTCAACTTTATTCCTCTCTGTTTAAAGAACAACGGAAATCAAGAAGTACATCGTAGCCATAGTTACTGTAAATAATGTTGATGTTTTCTGATCCATTAGCTTACAAAAGTGATCAAAATCCAATTTCTCCTCAAAATCAGTACATTGTAGACAAAACAGGCGATGAGAATAAGGACAATCATCAATACGGGAATTCTGTAGCCTATGTATGTGGAACAGGGTGAAGAAAGCTTCCCGTGGTTGGAAAGCAAGTGCAAATACAATACAAAGCTTCAGTATGATATATATCAAACATTTTTGTTTTCTCTCTTTCAGGATTTCTCAGTGATCAGACGATTGATGAAAGATGAAGGCAAAGACAAGACACTGGAGGCAACATTAAGAAGGCAGGACACTTAGGACAAGACATAGTATGCAAGGAACAAATGTAAGACAGATTAAGATCGAGATATTTTCTGAAAACCCAAAAGTAGGACGTGTAAGATTTTTTTTTCGTGGACTAAATGTTACGATCGACTGTGTTTTCTTCACAGTTAAATAGAACACGAAGGCTATCTATAAAAAGGAACTGGCCCGAAAAATAATTTACAGATTCACAGTAGGAAATGTGTTGTCAGCTTTGCTTTACAAATTGTAATTCAGTTTTAATCACATTGTCTTTATTCACGATGCGAGAGCTTGGTAGATTGTGTGACTGACGCGTACGTGACTCTTGAGAAACAGTGCTGTTGCGTCACACCAGCAGCCGTTGAGAATATGTTAATAAGGCCTTGTGCGGGAATTTCAATACACGGCATTGCAACAGGAGATTTAGCAAATAGAGATTGTAAAGTGCCTTTTGATATTTTGTTGGCTTGTTTAGACAAACGGCAAGGCAGCAGGGTACCAAAAGAAACTTTATTTTCTGACTTAGCAGTTAAAATAC